TTTTTTTTTTTACTTTTTGGCAATGGAAACAAATTTTATAACCAATTGTGGAAAAAAATATCACTTTAATGGACAATTTTCATGTAAAACAAAGCCAAACGAATAGAAAATTTAAAAATTTTCCGAGTGGAAAATTATACCAATCAAACACACTTGAAATCATTTTCCCTGCAAAACATTTTATAGAGAAATCTTTTTCCTGTAAAATATTTCCTTTCCACCTATTTTTCACCCTTTCAATCAAACGCACCCTTAGTTCAGTAGTTCTTCCATCCATGTGTTGCTTGTCACACGAAACAAGTAATTGCGTTTGAGATGCTACAAGTGTTCCTTGTCACATGAAACAAGTAATTGCGTCTGAGATGCTCCAAAACATTCTTATTCAAATCAACACCAGCCGTCCGATCTGCACTGGTCGGATGCATCAATCGCCTGATAAACCAAGAACTCGAGACATAGTATTCCTCCACGTGTCTTAAATCAATTGGTTAACATTAAATTTAATACTTATATCCTATTTTTCCCCTCCCCAAAATCAGCGAAAATAACAACAGAACCAATTTTCCCTGCAAAATATTTTATAGACAAATCTTTTTCCTGTGAAATATTTTCTTTTCACCCATTTTTCACCCTTGCAATCAAACGCACCCTTAGTTTAGTAGGTCTTCCATCCATGTGTTGCTTGTCACACGAAACAAGTAATTGCGTCTGAGATGCTACAAGTGTTCCTTGTCGCATGAAACAAGTAATTGCGTCTGAGATGCTCCAAAACATTCTTATTCAAATCAACACCAGCCGTCCGATCTGCACTGGTCGGATGCATCAGTCGCCTGATAAACCAAGAACTCGAGACATAGTATTCCTCCACGTGTCTTAAATCAATTGGTTAACATTAAATTTAATACTTATATCCTATTTTTCCCCTCCCCAAAATCAGCGAAAATAACAACAGAACCGAGAAAACTAGCCCCGAGTCTATAGGCACCAGGGGCCTTCCTTTTACATTTATTTGCTTTTCCTTGATTGATATTTGGGGATTTTACGTGGATTTTGTCGCCAGATTCCATTGAGATTGAGATTTCCGATTGATCTTCCGGGGAGTGAGGAATATTGAGAAAAAGGTGAAACAATGGTGAATTCGATGGTGGAAAGAGCGACGAGCGATATGCTCATAGGTCCTGATTGGGCTATGAACATCGAGATCTGTGACATTTGCAATCACGATCCCGCGTAATTGCATCTACTCTCTTCTTTTCCACTTAATTTATCCAGAATTTTTTGTTTAAAATTAAATGAAAAAAAAAGAAAATTTGAAAAAGGTGTATGTATTTTATGTATAGAGTTTGAAGACTTTCTTTTATATTTAAAAATGTGTATGATATGGAGTTTTTGGGAGTTCCGGATTTCTTTTTAAGTGTTCATTTTTTTCTTGTATTCTCTGGTAATAAATCAGGAAAAGAACACTTTGTAGCATAATTAGAATTTTCATCTTTTATTCGAGTATAGTTTGACGTTGTCATTTTTTGAGATTATTGTTGTATCATGCTTAGCCGAACTAACTATTTTTGCCGTTTAGTAATTTATATAAACTGCTGCTATGTGTTTGTGGTTTGATTTTATAGAAAATTTGATCTAAATCCCCACTTTCTTGATGTCTAAAATTTAATTCACTTGCATGCTTCTGCTCTGACAATTTTCAATATTGAGAAGTAGAAAAGTATGCTTTCTTCCGAATTTGTGCTGCAGACTCTGGCTTTAGAAAAAGGAGTTGTCAATATGTTTATAACTATTCCTGACCAACGACATTTACATGCACGTGTCTCTTAGTTTGACAATATAAGATTGTTAAACTTGCTTTTACTTGTAAGATGTTGAGTGGCTAAGATATCATCTTTTGCCAACCCTGAATCCTGTCTTCTCACGTGAGAAGGGGGAAACTTATATTCCGCATTTATTGTTTTAATTTCTCTAATAATGAAAAAACCTGTTATATGTATGTGTTTTGCTAGTGGCTTCACTTGAATGTTGTCTGATTTACGTAGTAAAAATCAAAATCGTTGTTGTTTTTATTCTCATCATTATTATTTTCAACTTATTGTGACTCTATTTGTTTATCAGGCAAGCAAAAGATGTTGTAAAAGGTATAAAGAAGCGTCTTGGTAGCAAAAATGCAAAAGTCCAGCTCCTCGCCTTAACAGTAAGCTTTACTTGTATTTACTGATTTATGATGCTGCTCCTTCTATTGCATACATAGCTCTTGTTTGATTTGCCTGCTTTGGTCAGCTGGAAGGCTTTGCCTTTTATGAGTTACATGGTATTTTCTCTCATAAACTGAATTCTTTATAAACTTTTTTTCTTGGACGGTTAAAATTTTTGAGCCATAAAACTTCTTCTTCTTAATTATAGAATAAATTTTCTACATGGGCAAACCAAAGGAAGGACTTTGAGGCATGGGTTCCTTACTTCCCATAAAACTTTTTCTTCTGATTGACAGATGTGCTTCGGTAAACCATTATGAAGGATCTGGAAGGTAAAACATGGACCTTCCTAATTATGCTCTAAAAGTATAATTTTGGAGAATGCTGACACGTGAGAAACCACGTGACATTGTGGAGACATAGCTTTGTATGCCATTGTTTGAGGAAATGACAACGTAATGAAAGATTTGGAAGATCAAACATGGACTAGTAGAAACTGGGTAGAAGAATTTTCTTCACATATGATTTGGATAAAGCTTAGGGTGGAATGGGGTTGCTTGTACTTCGTTAGGATGAAGGTAGGGAACTAGATGGGAGATAGATAGTGAAACACAGCGATGCATTCTGGTTTCTAGGATTTGTGAAACTTGAGATGGAAGAAGGCTAGTGTCAGGCTAAGAGGGGATTGAGGTTCCTCACGGTTGCATAGTTCCATTGCTATGCTCAAAAAGTCAACTTGTGATGCTTTCTCATGTTTGTGGCATAGAGCATGGCTTGAAATACACATGTTGTGCCCTTGGGAAAGAAAAGGTTAACTTGATTTTTATTCTTTAACGCAATGTTTAAAATGCTTAATTGGGTACCAGTTCTTTTTACTTGTAAGCCTCAAGATAGATCAATAAATAATTCACAAGAATATAAAAATACTCAAATATGCTTATAAATCAATCACCATTTTTAAAAATCCACAATAAAACAAGTTAACAAAAATAAGTCTAACTAGCAAACAAACATAAAATAAATCATTAAAAAAAAAAAAATCCCAAAACGCTAAGGCCAGTTATAGAATGTCCAGAAAATGCTAGACAAATGGGCACACACCTCAGTCGTCTTGAGGCTTAGCCTTTTCAGCTCACTAAGTTTACATTTAAGCCTCACAATTGGCACATAAGGTGTGAGATTTTAGGTGTAAGCCTCGAATAGTTATTTTAAACAATGGTTTAACGTTTTAGGGGTCAGGCAAAGATGTGATGATTTGATGATTTTAATAGTAACTTTATAGGAGGAGTATATTTCTTACAACTCTAGTGAACTCAACGATAACCACTTGAAAAGCTCATTAATTTTGGTAAAGCAGTGGGTTGTAATTTCTTTTTCTAGATATACTGATTTTGGCACAGTAACTTGATATGCTTATATTTCTTCAATGCCTCTCAAAAGTGGCCAAGTAGATGAAGAGATAATGCAGTTGGTGTTCATGTCATTTTTCTAGCTTTTGGAGACAATTGTAAAGAACTGTGGGGACATCGTCCATATGCATGTTGCTGAAAAAGATTTGCTTCATGAGATGGTGAAAATTGTGAAGAAGAAGGTAATTGATTGCATGTACTATTAATCACTTTTGTTTACATCTACTTGAGTTATTGGTATAAATTGTTGTTGATTCATCTGTTATTGCAGCCTGACTTTCATGTAAAAGAGAAGATTCTAATTTTAATAGATACTTGGCAAGAAGCTTTTGGAGGACCAAGGGCAAGATATCCTCAATACTTTGCAGCATACCAGGATTTATTGGTAGGTTGGAAGGGGATTCCTATGTTTTGGTCCCATTTTACCCTTTTGTTTGTAATTATTGTACATTGATTCTTATTTTCTATGTGTTGTATTGTACATTTTATCAGCGTCTTGGAGCAGTATTCCCTCAGAGATCGGAGAGGTCAGCACCTGTTTTCACACCCCCACAAACACATCCTTTGGCCTCACAACCACAAAATATTCGTAACCTGGAATCTAGGCAGAATGCATCTGAGTCTTCTGCAGAAGCTGAATTTCCTACATTGAGGTATGTTTTCTAGACTGGCAGTGTTGAAATTTAAATCACATTGTCAATAGCAGTTTTATGGAAGTAGAAAAAAGAAAGGGGTTGGCTCTTTTTCTGAAGTTGATATATGAATAACGTGTTGTCAAGTTAGAAATTTAGTTCGTTAAAATATTGTTTGTTTTCAACTCGTTATTTTGTAAACTTAACGTAGTGTAACAAATGACACAATGTATGGATAAAAGAGAGGGGATTGATAAATCGAGTCCCAGGTACTCTGATGGATTTTTGTGGATTATTTATCATGTTGAGAGCTTTTGCTGGGCATTTGTAATTGGAGAATCTGCACAATCTGAAGAAAATGCCTATTTAGAAAGTAATTGGATTGATTGACATTTGAGCGCTTTTGCTGGCCTTTCCTTGATAAAGATACTGTCGAGGGACTAATAAACCCGGCTTCTTTGTGTATAATCTATCTTGATATCTTATAAAAGGCAAATATTTTATCTTTTGAATTAAGCCATAGGTTGGTTTGAAGTGTCAGTTCGGCATTTACTTCTTGATTTTGCAATTTGTGGTGCTTTTGACTTGTTAGTGCAAGCTATGCAGGCCTGTATAATCCAAACTCTAGCAATAATGGCATATGATCCTCTTTCTAGACTGGATGTTTAGATATGTTATTTTTATATCTGTTATAAATACCAAACGTGTCTCATTCTTGGAGGTTTGGTAAATTTGGAATTATTGTATAACCTGGCAACAGATCATACGTGCAATACTTATGAGGCTTTATGTTATTGATTGTTGTTATGTTCTTTTATTTATTTTAGCCTGTTGTTTATGTTAGCTTGACAGAAATTCAGAATGCACGTGGTATCATGGATGTTCTTGCCGAAATGCTCAGTGCTATAGATCCTGGGAACAAAGAGGTAAATATGAAAGGAAAGTTTGCTTATTGTTAGCCGCAGCAGCTGGCTTAGAGAATGATCATTTTAATTGATGACAGGGGGCTCATATAAATTGTAGATGTAAAATGGAAATGAATATTTGGTTGTATGAGATTTTTTCCTCATGAAATTGGCCAGTCCTTCATTTGAACTCTGGCCACATGTTAGTAAAAATAATTTTCTTGAGTTCTATTTTTACTTTATCCATATGTTTTCTTCTTCACAATCTTTTGATACACTTTGGATTCAGTTTTTAAGATTTCATTTCTATCTGGTGGCAGGGACTTAGACAAGAGGTAATTGTTGATCTGGTGGAACAATGTCGTACATATAAGCAAAGAGTGGTTCACCTTGTTAATTCGACTTCGTAAGGCCCTGATGTACTTTCCCTTCTACGTAACACTTGCACATTTATGTAACACAGGATATGCAACATGTTAATGTGGTTTGGAGCTTATTTGTATTTCATGTTATTATGTTGTTTATGAACTGGGAGGAAGGAATAAGGTATTGAGAGCAATAATTAACATATTGAAATTGTGACAAGGCCTCAAATAGTTTGTCAAGGACATTAAATTGTTTTTTGTCCAATTCATTTTGTTCTTTTCAGTTTGATGATAATGAAATGGTTTCTTTATTCTATTAATGTAATGCCTGTAGAACAAAACATGTAGTCATCTCTGTTGGGCATGTCCAGAATGCATCATATGCTTCTGGGCTGCTTTGTGCAAACTTAAATTGGTGATGTAGGTGAATGATTATAATATATTTATCAGCTCTCTCTTGGAATCAAGAGTCAAATGTCAGGAGGAATTAAGTCCACTTCAAGATAAAAATCATCTGGCTTCAGAAGATCATAGCGGATGGAGAAGGGCCATGTTGATGTATTTTGTGGGTGCCGAAGCTAATTTTGTGGAAAGGATGATCTTTCGGCTCAGTTTCATGATAGCATCCCGAGCAGTCCCATTTATTCTTGCTTGAGTCATTACAACATGGATTGGAGAAACACGAGTGGTCACCTATAGGAAAGTCCTGAAGGTGACCTAACTGGAGTCCCTGTGATCAATATGAGTCATGTAATTGACGAGTATATAAGCAATATTCTGTCCCATTCCCATCATGACTGATCAATTGCATGGCCGTTCAGAAATGGAGAAGAAAGAACCCACTAGACTCCCATGCAGTATTTTTCATATGGTCTTTGCATGTATGATGTATCATTTATCATGTGTAACATAATTATTACTTTAGTATGATGGATAGTAGTATGGTTTGGTTTATTTGGTGAAGAACTCAACTCATTTTTTACTGAATTTCAAATATACATGACGTAGGGATGAATCACTATTATGCCAAGGACTAGCACTGAATGATGACCTGCAACGTTTGTTGGCTAAGCATGAAGCAATTGCTTCCGGAACCACCACTGTTCAATCAGACAAACCAAAACCTGAACCTGTTCGATCCCTGGTAGATGTTGATGCTCCTCTTATTGACACTGGTGATAAAGGGTAAACTGTGATTACTTTTGAAGGATAAATTAGATTGTTAATGTGTTGGTATTGTCCTTTTTGTTTGTTTATTCATGTTAATACCTGTCCCTGTGTTAAGAAGTATTATTTTTGGTGTCATTTGAAATTGTTTGGCCTTGACTCTGAAGTGCACACTTATTTTCCATGAGTTTTTCATTTTGAACCTTTATAGGGGAGGGTAGGAGGAAGACCTGAAAAGGATATGGACAGTGTAGAGAATTTTCAACAATTTTGGAACTTCTTTTCTTCGGGATTTATTGTGTTGGATACCAGATTACTTCTTAAAGAATAAAATGGACTTGTTGACCTTTTTTTATAATTAAAACTTTATTTGTATGCACTATTAGTATAAATTAATTTTTCCAATGTAACCCTCTTCAGTACCTGGTAGTTAAAAAGAGGGAAAAAGAGAATGTTAGTAGTCGATATACATTCTGTGGGCTGCACCTCCTTATATTTATGCCCTTACCTAGAAGACCGAAGCGTAAAGTTTCGTAGTTGAGCATTTTGTTGACCTCCTAGCTGCCGTAGCTATGTTTGTAGATTTTGCCATCAACACTACAAGTCATACATTTTTGAATATTTTTTAGACTACCTAGCTCTAAACTTGTTTGTCTTACTATGCCCTTTGGTATTAGGATTCTGGTTCAATAATATGTTCTTAACATCAATAATCTGACTGCGTTCTTTTTATTTTCAATCTACTGATAGTGCTGGCTCAGGGACACAGTTAGCTCTTCCTGCTCCCCCTGCATCTAGTGGTCAATCAACAACTCCAACGAAGGCTGATCCTAAGATAGATCTTTTGAGTGGAGATGACTTCTCATTGGCAATTGTCCCAGTGGGAGAGCCTCAGCCGGCCAGCCCTGCTGCATCTCAGCAGAATGCCCTCACACTTATTGACATGTTTTCACAGAGTAATAATAGCCCCTCTTCCAATTCTGTTGGACAAGCGCATCCTTCTTCCCCTCAATTTCATCAACAACAGAATTTTCAATATCCAAACGCACCATTATCTCCAAATGGAACAGTTTCTGGTCCAATGTTTCTCCAAAATGAACAGTCACTTCACCCACAAGGCTCAACCTCTCCATGGAATGGTCAAATAACCCAGCAACAGCAGCCATCCTCGCCAGTTTATGGTGCGTTATCTCCTTTTTTCTTTATTTATTTTGCTCTTTCGAAACTAGTTTATTTTTGTTTTTCAATTATGTAAACTTTCAGAATTTCACCTCCCCATTCCCCACCCCCACAAAAATAATAATAATAATAAACAAAAAGTAAAAGTAAATTAGAGTAAATGAAAAAAATAAATTCCTGCATTCTTGAGAATATCAAGAAATTATTGTTTACATGTATTCCAAATATATAGTACTAGGAAAGATTTGTCACAAAACCAATTATTTTCTTCGGCCTACGAGTTTAGAATGTTATTAGTGGTCACTCGACTCAACTGCAAGCATGTCATTCCTAAAACATGGAGAATATAATCTTGGTTTTCTTGGACTATATTTAGCATTTGGATGCAGTGTCTGATAAATGCTTATTTTGTTTGATAGGTGCTCAAAATAGTGGTGCATTTCCACCTCCACCATGGGAAGCTCAACTAGACAATGGCCAGTTTGGCAGTAATCAGTCTCCTCAGCAAATGCAAGTGACAACACAAGTAACAGTCACCCACTCACAGCCATTTCCCAGTGGCGCATATCTTCCAGGCTCACCTATGGCAAATGATCAGGTAGTCGGCATGTACATTCAGCCAATTACCACTGGCAATTTTACAGCAATCAACAACCAGGGTATGGGATTGCATCCTCAACCAATCCAGAGTCCACAAATGGGTATGTTTTCTCATCCAATGCAATCTGGTCAAATGGCTAATATGTATACTCAGCAGATTTATGGAAATCAAATGGCGAACTATGGCTATGGTTACGGCCAACAGCAAAATACTCAGTTCCTTGAGCAAAACATGTCCGGGATATCTATAAGGGACGACAGCATCTTGAGAAATTCTTCTTATTCTTCAGCTCCGACTCCCACATCCTCGTATGTCCCAAGGCCCTCGAAGCCGGAGGACAAACTGTTTGGGGACCTAGTTGACATTACTAAATTTAAACCATCGAAAACTACTCCGGGTAGAGCTGGAAGCATGTGACATGACCTTGCCTTTTATTTTGTTTGCTAACTTGGTGTAGGCCCCTTTCAGATTTTACGATTTTTTGGGTTAAATTTCCACTAATATATTTTCGTCTTTCGGTCCATTGTGTTGCATTTTTCTTTGTTCGCGGTTTCTTTACATTAGAATCGTGTACATTTCTTGTAGAAATAAACACAAAAGAAAGGGGGAAATGTTTAATTTTTTAATGGTAAATAATGTTATATAAATATCTTGAATTTTCAAATTGCAATGCTATCATTATCATCTCGTTGTCCTGTATTTTGGCTGCTTTCAATTTTCATCGAAATTCTTTTTTCCCGTATAGAATAGGAAGAAAAGTTTTCTCGACTGTGATCGACTTAACAACTTTCATACTCAATTTCCATTTAAAAAAATAAGTGAGAAAAAGGATTACGGAAAGTGTTTTTCTTGAGTCGAAACTTGTGTTAAACGTTCCATACAAGTTTTGTCTAAATTGGAACTAAATTGGAACTGGAAAAATGCTGGTATAATGCATGTGGTGAAGAATCTATGTATCCATGATAACAAAATCGAACACAAGTAAAAGGGTAAGTCTCTATACCGTTTTAGATTGAGGATTGTATGGAGAAGCTTGAAAGTAAAATTTTAACAGTAAAAAAATAAAATAAAGTTAATTCAAGAAGTAATTTGCATAGTTATTAGACTCGACTCGGACATCGACCCCGACAAGGTACAAGGCTTCGGGTTACTGGTTGAACCGGTAGGTCAATAGTTGGATCTGTGAGTCATTGCATAAAATAAAAAAAATTAAAGTATAAAAAATCTTTTTAGGAAAAGAAAATTTTTAAAATTATTTTTCACTAATTATTTAGGTTTATAAAATAAAGTAAAAGGTTTGACCAAAATTTTTATAAAAATACTTTTAGAAAACATATATATGATTAATTGGATATATATAACTTATTGCACATAAAAAGTATTGAAGTACTCTACAACTTTAATTGTGAGGAACTAATTGTTTTACTTGGAGCCTTGGACCCCCAAAATTGTAAAAGGCAATTTTGAAAATCGATAAGCCGGTCGGGATAACTCGGTCAAAACAGATGATTGACTCGGTCAAAGACGGTTTTTGACCGAGTCATGTGTATATCTATTAAATTAATCTACCCAACCCAGACAAGGGCTTATGTCATCGATTTTCTGGCCCGATCGATCGGTCCAAGCCAGGTTTGATAACTATGGTAATTTGTTTTTACGTAAAAATAGTTTATTCAAATATTCGCAGTGGCTAAAAATCAATTAGAAGTAACTTTACTTTTTATGCAGATTTTTTTCTCTCTTAAAAGTTATTTAAACCCCTTTCGAGAACCATTAATTCAAAATTTTTAATTATCATACTCATTTTTAATCATATTTACATAATAAAATATTTATTTTAATCACATTCTTTAAAAAATCATTATTCAAAACTCTAATTTATCAAAATAATGACCATCAAACATGGACTTAATAAATAATGACCACATATTGTTGCCAAAATAAATAAATAAATAAAATGCTCGTAGACTTCGTATATTTTTCTCACTTCTTAATTATTTAAAAAAATTTAGGGAATCGAAGCTTCCGTAAATTTTCATAAGGGATTAAGGTCTTGTTTGACATATCTTTCAAAAAGTCAAAAACTGCTTCTAATATTAAAAAATTACTTTTGAACATATTTTGATAAATTTTTTTAAAGTGTTTTGTCTAACTAAAAGAGTTTTTAGAGAAAAGTTGTGTAAGATAACTTCTTCAAGAAACATTTTTATAAGAAGTAGAAGAAAAAATAGCTGCCTTACAAATGAATCCTAAAACTATATATACTTTTTAAAATATATTAAATTCCTAACAAATGTAATTTATATTTAAATGATGTAAAAAATAAACTCGCACTTCCATCAACATAAGTGTACTTGCGACTTTGGTTGTACTGTACAAGTGAATTCAAAGAATAACATTTGACTACCAGAAAATGTGATGGACCGCCACACACAGGATCATATGAAATGCAAAATCGGATTACAAAGTATACTCTCGTGTAATCTGAAGTTCACGAGCTGATCTCTGGTAAGCTTCTATTTTCTGTTCATTCATGTCTCTTTCTGAATTATATATTTTACTTGAATGTTTTTTATCAGTGTTTTTTGTTAATCTTAAACGGGTGCGAAGAATTTTGAATTACTGTTTGATTAATAGGATAATTTAGGTCATTAGGCATGTTTTCTTAAAGATTCGACTGTCGGGTTTTAACAAATTTATTTTTTTCTAAGACGAATTGATTTCGATTGATTAAGCTTTGAAGTGAATTGTGGATTTCAGAGGTAGAGCAGAAAATGCAGGTTAGTATCCCTTCTTTGGATTTTTATAATTCCTTTTGACATAACGATTTTTGTCACTATGTATTTGATTATTTTCTTTTTATATGTATTTGTAAGATTTCTTTGGATTGGAAGCTCTGGAAATTATTGGAATTTACTACTTAGTGAAATTCAATAGTATCTTTTGTTTGGTTTCTTGGAATTTGGCTTTACACTCGTAAAAAAAATTTGTTCTTGGTTATACGCATTTACAATAACAGAGGTTTTACAGGAATTTCATGATGCTGTCAGTACCTTAAATTCTTTTTAATGTTTATTGGTTTTCCCCTGTTGTCCTGCATTTAGTTTTGTATGGTTTTGAGATCCCGTGATGTATAATACAAATGTGATACATGGGAAGACCAGTGTTTGCAAATTTAATTGGTAGAAAGTACAGAAGGGGGATTATTTATAGGGGTAGTTCGGGACAACAAAGTATTTTACGATTGATGTTACTTTATGACATCTCAGATAGGAACGGAAGATGTTTGATTGAGCACTGAGGAAGTACTAAATTGGGGCAGCATGGAAATGGGTCTTTTCTTTCGTCTAAATGAATCTATTTGTCGTTAATAAGAAAATGGGCAAACCCTGTGTAGAAGTATTGAAGATGAATGCGTATCCCTTGTTATATTACAAATCCATGATTCTGTAATAATTTATTATCTTTGGTGATTCGATGGACTGATAAAAGATTAACGATTACTTTGGCACATGTAGCAACTGGGTTCAAGGACAAAGTTGGTGAGAAATTTATTGTACCTTGACCTGCTATTGCTGATAAAGTGCCATCAGCTATTTTAACCTTTTTATTTCTGGGATATGGACTAATATGTAGAGAAACGATATTAGGAATTTGTCATATAATCACAAGCACCTGAATCAATTACCTTAGGGGCTTGAGAAACAATCTTTTGAGGCCCTAAAAGCATGAGAATCAGAATAATCATGTGAGTGCACTAAAAAACACGAAGCACCTGAATATTCTAATGATGAGAAGAGATTCATAAGTAGCTCAATTTCCTGTTTGTTGAAACCTCCAATTTCAGAATTGTTTGTTGCATTTTCTTGACGGTAGTTTTCAGAATGAACAGCATGTGCATGTTGAGAAGCCAGTGCCACAACATTGTATTTTACCTAAAATATTTCTAACATTTTATGGCTCTATTATGGACAGAGATGACTGGGAAAATAATTTAGTGGGTGTTTGGTCCCC